GATTGCTTTCTTTGCACATAAGAGAGTGCTTCCTGCACTGAAATTAATGGCAATACATCCCTTACTGCTTTTTTTCAATGTACTGTTTTAAACACCCGTACAGAGAAGACTTTACTATAATGCTCTCTACTTGCTATCTTCGTATTAGGCGATACTGACTGACCAATGAGAAAAAGGATGTGATCATCATCTCGCTTAAGATAATCTATTGACAAAGTGTACTGAGGAATTTTCAATAGATTAACCTTTTAGACAAAATGACCAATCAGAAGTCGTGCAAAAAGTCGTGCACCGAAGAACTTTTATCTAACAAGGCAAGTCTATATTCTTTCTCAAACACAGTTTTCTGGTGAGATTGTTTTCGTCGGGTCGGGTGCGGGTCGGCATTTTGGCAGTCGGGTCGGGTTCGGGTTAGGTTTTCTTAACCCGTGCAGGTCTCTACCGGTCTGTGTACTTTGTAAAGTTTTGAAGATAAGTTGTAGTTTATTATCACAATTTTCAACAGCATCCAAATCAAGCACTGCGCATAATGTCTGTGAGAAAAGAAAAAAAAACAATAAGTCATGATACTCTAAAGTGGATGCAAAAAGGGATACCACTGATGCCAATAATTACATATCCAAAAAGTTCATGAAAGTATGTAGTCGATATACTACAGACAATCACTTTACATGTTTCATCAAGAAAAAGTGGAAAACATGCTGGATAAGAAAACACCGTTGATCCTAATTCTCTTCAAATTCAAAAGTTTCGGATGACATCTTTTTCAATCAGTTTTTTGTACCGCATATCGTTTTTACGATTGTCAAGGGTTTTAAGTTAATTCTGATAACAATGGTAATTAAACAAAGCACAATAATGCGATTGCTCATTCTATCATCGAAACAACTGAAAAACAAATAACAGAAGTATTGGGTACACCGAAAAAGTAACAAAGTTATTATACAAAGAGCTGGTAATTTTTGACAACCTGATTCTGAAAAAGATGAGTTTCATCAGAAAAACTGCCTATTAAATTCAAACTTCACCACTTTCTTTCGGAGAAGAACCGGAAAGATTTCAGAAAAAATTAAAAACAAGGATTATAATCCGAAAATTGGAACAAGATTCTTTGACAAAAAGTGAATATCTGTGCATAAAGTGCATATATTCGGAAATATAACACTCTGCAACGATATTGTAAATAAAGAGCTTCGCTGTGTTCATAGACCTTTAGATAACATTCTCAGAAAACAAAACTGCAAATGTGAAGTAATATACATACAGTTATCGAAGTTTCACCGAAATTTGTTGATTCTCTGTCATCATCCGATTAATCATCAAAAATTTCGTCTTGATAACGAAATATGTCATTTTGAACATAATCTTTTTTTGCGAACTGTGAGCTAATACAAATGTTTGCATCAAACGACGCATCGGTTCACCACCGTTCGATAATTCTCCAGTAACCTATAGTGAATATATTAAACTAAATTATAGACTATCAACTGCATAATCAGACATCTTATAATGTACAACATTTTATCTGAACAACGACATCTTCGCCAATTGTTGCATGTGAATTAACTTGTCTAATTTTGGAATGACAATCTTTTAAATTTAAATCTGTTATTATTCGTGATATATCTTGTGGACCCACAGCTGGTTATTCAACATTTTCCGGTCGACCAAAATCACAGTGAATAAATGTACTATCCGTAGAATAAAATCTAGACAAAAGATTAACAATAATTAAAAATTATCTTTTCTCTATTAGCTACTACTTACTGGTGTACAAATGAAGAGCCTGATGGAATAAAGTGTAATATTGATGAACGAAAGCGCGACCAACCTAAACAAAGTAAATAAAAATAGATTAAGGGTTTATTGCAGGACTTGAAAAGTTTATTCCATGATGAAACTTTTTTCTAAGAAATGGCTAACCCTTCTAGTGATTAATAAGAGGAGAACAAACTACAGCTTTTTCTCTTCTGTACAATAGTAGCTCTACGTACATATACGTATATGTACACGTGTCTCTTTTTGTCTATTTTACTTGGGTTTGCTTTTACTTATTCAATTATTAATACGTTAACGAAATTAAGTTTTCGATTAGAACTGATAAATGCGTTCTGAACAAGTTAAGAAGAGTTACCAATCGATACAAGATAAGGAGGATGCTGTAAATGGTATTTATTTTCAACGTGGACTGCGGTTTCATAATCAAAATCGTCAACCTAATAACCCTTCTCAAGCATCAAATTCCTTTAAGCGAAAATTGACAAATATGAGTTTATCTGGCGATAATTCAGGAAATAGGTTATCGAATGATAATAAAAAACTACGAACAGATGAAACTGGGAGGGATGACTTTTACGATGTTGACGATCGAACGGGACGGAGTCAAAGAGGTGGATATTTGTTGAACTTTGATCAAAATCAATTGTGTGGCGAGCAAGAAAATATTCAGATCTCAAACCAGGCTCTAAAGTTCGCGATGGATAATCATTTTCCACCGATCAAAATTGTGTGTACACCAAAACTCCAAAAGGAGATGGTGCAGGTTTCGTTAAGTCTCTGGTTAAACATATTGAAAAACATTTCAATGTGCAAAATCCGTTTTTCAAGAAACCCATGGCTTTTGAAGCATGGTGGGTCGATATGAGTGGTGATGTATCACTTTTGACAAAATGCGCAGAAATTTTTATTTATTTATGTATACTGTCTCATTATCCAGCTCACACTAATGATGTTCAGCTTGAACCACAATTGCCCAAGAAATTACCGTCTCCATTTTCTGTATTGATTGAATTTGTGAACAATGATGTCTCGATTCAAGATATTAAAAATCAAATGGATGAGAAATACGATTCGATATATTCCTGCGATGATTTAATGGGAACTAAAACAAGTCGAACTAGACATATACGGATTGACTTTACAGATAGAAATGATTATGATTCCATTCTCAACGTTGGACAAGTTTCTCTCTTCAGTCAACTCTATGATGTTAAGGAATTTCTTGAAGCACCAAAATTACTAATATGCACAAAATGCAATTGCCCTGGCCATATAAAAAAAAATGACACGGATCTTACGTACGCTGTCGTCGTTGTGGCGAGGACAGAAAAATCGGGGATCATTCAGAATGTATAATTAAATGTCACCGCTGTAACGGTAGTCACTTATCAATCGATTATAAGTGCCCGTTTTTATTGGATTATCGTCGTGAATTAGTCAACGAATTGAGACGTCATCCCGAACGTCTACCTGGCCACGTACAACTTTTTATCCCTACACAATGTCGAGATAAACATAATCGTTCTAGCGTTCTTATAAACAATAATTCAAAACAACAATTGAATCGTATCACTAACACACCAGGTTTAAACGCAGCTACTCATATATGGCCTCAGTTACCGAACAAGTTGGATATAGTAATGGATCCAAATGTGATGAAAAAGTTTGATGAGGAATTGAAAACAATTAAAGATAATTTTAATAAAGAGCTGAAAAGGTCAAACGAGATTTATGAAAAGAAAATGATTCAATTTCGCGAAGGCTGGCAATTAATATCTCAACAAGTAAAAATTCAACAGAAAATGATCGCCAGTTTGTCGGCTAGTATTATTTCGACCGTCATGCCAATGGGAGCCAGTGTCCTTCAAATATTGTCGTCAATCACTCAAATCCTTCAGAACAATGAGCAAAATGAAACACTGGAAAATAATTTAAATCAAATGTCACAACAACTACTCATCGAAAACAATAAATTTTGCGAATATCACACTTCAATTCAAAAACATCAGAAACAACTTACGACACTGATTGAGAAACTAACAGCAGCTTCGATCGAAGGAATGGACTTACTCTTTTGCTCAAATGAATAATGGGACATTCAGGTATTCAGATCCATGTGTAAGAAAAGACATTATTAACAAATATGATGGCTCAGTGAGTGAAAAAAACACCCTTAGTCAGATGTGCACCGAATGGAACTTTAGAATATGCATCTCTGATCTTTGTCGATTATGGAAGAAGGAGAGACCGAATAAGGTAGCTAGAAATTTCGTTGACTGATGCAGTCTGAGACGAACAGCTTTGGAGGTGTGGCTGTGCTAGTTCATCACACGCTTCAAACAAAAGTTGTCAATACTGACACCTGTCAGTCCTGATTTTTGCTGTATATGTAGCTCCAAGTACAAAATCTCCGTTTCATCTTTTTGAATCCTATACTGAGAAAAATTTTTATATCTTTGGTGACTTTAATGCAAAAAACGTTGAATGGTTCTGCGCGAAAAATAATTCTAGTGGGATTCAGTTGAAAGACTGGCTCGATGCGAATGGATATGAGATCATTGCATCCAAAAAATCTAAGTCCGTTATTGATTTCGGTATCACAAATGATGCGAGCGGATGGAAAACAGAGATTCTTAGTGAAGGAATATCCGATCATTTTCTGGTGCTCTGTTTTGTACCTTTCACAGCATCACAAACAGGCTGTTTTCGAAAAACTAACCGGAAAATATTTTCGTTTTTTCTTGAATGTGTTTATCCGAACTGGAATACATTTGTTTATAATGCAGATGAGCAAATCTTTTTTGACCTATTCTCCTCCTTTCTCTCTTCCTTATGGGATAGATGTAGTGAATACGAGCAGATTAAAAAATACAGATCACCCTGGTCATGCTATCTTGTCACTCTGGCAAGAACAGTTAATTTTTGGAAAAGAAAATATAGAAGAAACCATATGTTAAACGACCATGTCATGTTTCGCTACTGGAAAAGATTTTTTATCGAAGAAAAAATAAAGTATCTAGCTAAAGTAGAAAGTTACAAGCTCACTTGGATGTCACAAGGTCAAAATATATGGAAGTTTGTCAAACCAACGTTTCACTCTTTTTCACCACCTTTTAGAGGTCTCACATTTCAACAAACTCGTATAACAAATGAGACTGAAATTGTTGATGTTCTAGCAAAATACTATGAGAAGCATTTTGAAGCACCGGTATCTGACATCAACAATCCAACCCACACTAAAGCAGATGAGATATATAAACTAGTTGGAAATATGCCAAATATCCCGTTGGGACCGTTCAAAATGGACGAAGTTATTAAACAGTTTAATAAATCAAAGTCTAAAAAGTCTTTAGACAGTACGGAAACGTCTGCTTTTCTGCTTAGAAAATACCCGTACGAATATCTTCAAACATTATCGGTTCTATTTAATAAATGCGCTCAAAATGGAATCTTTTTTGAAAAGAGTAAACATGCAAAAATAATTTGCCTTTCTAAAGACGGAATATACCCGGAGGTAAATAGAATGAGATCCATCTCGCTATCACCAAACATAGGCAAATGGTTTGAGTGCATTGTCCATGAGCGTATAGCGAAATGGTGTGAACGGAAAGGAATATATATTGATGAACAATCGGGTTTTACCCCGGGTAGGAGATTACAAACAAAAATCCTATCACTATGTGAGGATTTAAGACTTACAACTGCTGCCTATAATCGGCCAGCATTAGTTATCTTTGTCGATGTTTTATCTGCGTTTGAAAAACTTTGGTATCCGGCCTTAATATAACATTTATATGAGCTTGACATGCCACGTGATCTACTTAGATGGATCTATGGATGGCTTCAAGATCGATCTTTCTCTATTCACTATGGTGATATAATGTCTCGTGTTATAAGAATGTATGTAGGGGCTCCACAAGGCTCAGTTCTTGCAGCAACATTATTTCGTCTTCATCTTCATTTTTTGCCACAATGCTTCTTTCAAGCAATATCACACCTTTTTGCAGATGATTTAGCTATTGTTTTAACTGGATCCCTCGAGAAGCGTTTTTCACACAATATCGAAGATCTTGAAAAACGGGCGCAAATTGTGTTAAAAGCATTAGAGAAACTCTCAGGCGATAATATTCTACCTGTAAATGTCCCCAAAACGAACGCACTCCTTGTTCACAGCATTGTAGCTCCCAAGAAACCTCAACTCACATATAAAGGAATTCTGATTGCTTTTGTAAATCTTTTTAAGTATTTAGGCGTTGAAATTCGAACTAAAATGGGTTGGAATGAATATATTTTAGGAAGATTAAGGAAAATACGTAAAATTTACAATGCACTAAGTGTAAAATTCCGTTCTATACCAAAGTCACACGTATCTATGAGAAGAAAACTTTTTTTTGCTTACGCACTACCCCACTTCTGTCTACTCTTTCCAATTTTTTTCTATTTCACTGAGAAGCAAAAACTTCAAATTGAACATCTTTATATCACAGGGCTTAGACTCATATACAGATTGTGGAACTGGGACGATCTTACAACAATGGTATTATCTAGAGAAGTGACTCTGAGGGATTACTTATTACGATATTAGTTAAGGTTATTTAAGCATCTCTCTGAGTCTCCTGAGGCGCTTGTCTATCAACAAACCTGGACTGCGTATCAGATTGCTACCCAGTAAACGAGGGAATGGTATAGAGCGAGTGGTTTCCGCAAAAACAGTAGGTTTCCTCGAAGACTTGCTGAGAGCACATCACACAAATATAGACGTTCTTAACTTTATAAACATTCAAAAACAGCAATACAGCTTTTATAAAAAGGCATCAACACTAGTTCAATCTTTTGTATACAAATACTTTAATTTGCCACCTTAAATATATTTTTCTTTTGTTTGTATTTGTTTAACAATAGAAGTTTTTAATTTCTGCCTAGTTTTACATTTTTCAACTTCTTGATGTGTGCATGATTTAGGATAAAATTGAAATTCTTATTGCTTAATCCTTCCAGCTATCTTTTTTATCGTGTTATGTGTATTTTATATGAATCTTTTTTTGTTAACCTTTTTCAAGGAACAATAAACTATCTCAATGTTAAAAAAAAAAGGAGAACAAAGCAGTTATTTTAAGCAGTTGCATGTATTTGACATGTATCTACTTGCCTGCACTGTAAATTGGAAAAAAAGAAAAGTCCGGAATGTTTTCACCTACTTTTGTCGAAAAGCTTGTCTGATTGAAAAGCTCGTGATTACATATTTCACAGACCTTACTCAGTGATGGAACGAACTTTTGTATGTGATTAGAGACACAGAAACAGCAGGTGAAAACATCACGGTCATGACTTTAACATAGGGTCTTATTGAAAAACGGTTGTCTGTGCATGATTTCTAATGAGAATTTGCCAGAAAACGTACATATACGCTTTGTAATTGATCGTAGAACGTACATGTACGCTTTGGAATTAAATGCAAAGCGTATAAAGTCATAAAATATGTCTATTATATATGAAGGAAGAAAAAGCAGATCGTTATTCATTATTCTGTTGAATAAAATCAAGTTCAAATACAAAAAAAAGAAAGTAACAAAACAAACCCAGACTAGTCACAATTATTCCAGAACGAATTATCTATTTACTCACATATTCTATCAGACATTAATGGACAAAAAGTTCACTTCTACAACAGCAGCACTAGTAACAACTGACAAAGCATAGCAAACACCCTCAAGGTATAAAATTTAACTGCCGTCTTTACTACCTAGATAAATAAACTTGTCGGCAGACATTATGCATGAATGATTTTCATGAGAAAACGTTGAGTTCTAGCACATTTTTTCAAAAGCAGTCTCGAGACCTGTTAATAAAAAACAACTGGATTAATCCGTTTGTTGCAGCATGCTTGTCACAACGATTGGGACAAAATGTTGCACTTAACATATCGTTTTTCTTTTTACTTTTGGTGTAATCCGATATTCGAATTGAAGAAAGATGAACTGGTTCTACTTCTGGGATGATTTGAGGAAGACCTTCAAGTCAAAGAGAATGCCCTGGAAACGACGAAGGTATTTGATTGCGCTTTACTCATTACTAGTATAAACGTAAAAAGAAATTATTTTGTTGATTTGTTTAGTCTGAAACAGTAAAAACATTATACAACGCAAGATTCGGCCATTTAGCTGGTAATTCGGACCCATATTCGGCTTTGTTGCGTGATAGTAAACAGTCAAGCAAGATTTTCGTAGTGAACAAATTCCAATCAGAAATGTGTATGAAAATCAGTTATTACAATTAGAACAGTTAAGTGTACAACAAAAAAAACAAATGCAGTTATTCAAAAATATTTTAAATGATTCAGGTAAAAAGTTCCTGATAGTTAGTACATTGTGAATATATTCTTATATTATGATTATGCAAGAACCTGAAAGTGAAAAATGTTATAAAATTCGTGCTCAGATACTTCAAAATGAACTGCTCAAATCTCAAGAAGAAAAATTAGAATTGAAACATGATGTATGTGATGACTCTTGTTTTACTCCAATTATATATCTCTTTTTTTGTCGTTTTTAGTTAGATAATATAAATCTTCACAATAAAGAATTAGAATGCAGTTGTTACAGTTACTCGAACGCGGGAAGGAACGTCATAAACAATTTGTTGTTGATCAATGAACGAAGGCAATTGTTTTTACATATGAAAAGTGAAAAAGAAAACATAAACAACACATATATAACGTTCATTTTCTATCTAAAAATAAATCGCTTAATGGACAAATGGTCAATTAGTGGTCAAATGCTATTCTTTCTCTTTAAATCCTTACAAAACTCAAAGAGTATTTTCAAGCACAAAGCGCATTTTTTCCTTGACTTTAGTGTAGGGTCTTACAGAATAGTTGTTTTTATTGGTGAAGATCAGCTATCACCAAAAACGTCATCACCAAATTCAAGAGCCATCATATTTTGTGGTGTTCTGGCCTCTACGAATGCATGCTTTAGCTTAAGCTTAAATTAAACTTAATTTTGAATAGCGGATTAAATTCAAGCCTCAGTTTAAAGTGTTTTTGTACAAGTAACTACGTTGTTGTATGAAAATAATAAATATCATCTTT